TCTTGTGATGGCCAAAGGTAAGCTCTAACATTTGTCAAGAATGAGAATCATAGCTTTTTAAAACGTATATATTCCTATAATTAAATACTTATAGTTGCATATTTACACGGCTACTATTTTTAAAGTAGGTAACATTTGTCTTGCCATGATGGTGTAATTTGCGTCTGATCCTGTGAACAGTGACGGTTGCCTGCCGTCTTTAAGCTGTCACGAGGTATTGATGTGTCTATAATTCTGAGCAAGCTCTGGCAACACTGTAGTCTGTGACGAGATGAGGGGACGGTGATTGACACGATTCTCTCGTCTGTTAGGACACCGCATTGAGGAAATCCCAGAGGTCCCGCTGGTGGTTGAAGACAAAGTTGAGAGCTACAAGAAAACTAAGGATGCAGTGCTGCTGCTGAAGAAGCTGAAAGCCTGGAATGACATCAAGAAGGTAATCTAAACTTTTAATTTTCTCTGTTGGCTTGACTCAGCACAAAGATCTTAGACTGTTTCCTTCAGTAGGATTAACTGGTAACATTTCAGCCTGTGATATTGCTAAACTTGAGTACATTAGGCTTTACTTGGTTTCTTTTTAATGGTGTATAGTAATGATGTAAACTTTCTATTCTCAGGTCTACGCCTCTCAGCGCATGCGTGCTGGTAAGGGTAAGATGAGGAATCGCAGACGGATCCAACGCAGAGGACCATGCATCATCTACAACCAGGATGCCGGGGTCACCAAAGCCTTCAGAAATATCCCAGGTAAATGGAGATACGAGCGCTTAATATTTAATACCTAACAGCAATGTATAGTTCATATGCAGTAGTTCTTGTAAACCTGAATGCCATAGCTAGAAACACTGTGCTTCCCCTTTAGTCCTGAATGTTTTGCCGTCGGTGGTTATCAAAGATGACTATCGAAAAATGTGCCATAAGCTAATTCAACCTGCGAGTGTTTAATTATTGTGCTTTATTATAAAGGCATCACTCTGCAGAACGTAAACAAACTGAACCTCCTGAGGCTCGCCCCTGGTGGTCATGTCGGACGCTTCTGCATCTGGACTGAGAGCGCTTTCCGTAAGCTGGA